ATAATCACTGGTAGAGATTTTAAAAAATGGACATCTCTTTCACTCCTAAGATTTAGGTTTAACAGATCCAGCTGTGATGCACATTTCTAGCTAATATTCACTACAAAGGTTTGTATTTCTATTTTAACTTTATGCAATAACCTTGTAGAGGGATCTTTTCTGAATGTGATATAAAAATGACTTCCTATCAATATCACATAAAATTATATTTTTTATATTCCAAAACCATATTTGGTTAAAAAGCAATCAAAATCTCAACATACAAATTCATGTGTTACTCATAAAAATACAATAAATATATTACTTATTCAACAAATATTTATCTAGGCACTGTCACATACACAAAAGGGACAGCCACCCATTCTGATATAAAAAATTTAATAATTAAATTAAAGTTGAAAGATCAGGCTGCTTCACTGGTACATATAATTCTGAAAATAAATGGAAGACAACAGCCAATTTTACACACAAGTAGCAGAGGTTATGGTATGCTACTGACAGTAAGAAAAAAGGCAGCCTTAATAAAGTCTTTTTCCTCTGCTTATTTCTAAACCAACTATTATTCCAAATAGCCCTCTGAATGCTTAGTTATTATTATCAACTAAAACACTTTTAGCAAAGACCACAATAGAAACCTGGATATTAAACTACATAGCAAAACATTCTGATGCTAAATTTTCCTCCTAAGTGACTCTTTAGGTGCAATTTTTAAGATAAATAGGAAAATGTTAAGATGTGCATCTGCATATGTTGTACGACTTCCTCATTACAAACATGTTATTTCCACTATGCTTACATTTCAAAGCTTTACAGGCAAGTATTCTACTTGATCAAAAAAACTGACAGCCTTTAGTGAAGACAAATAAACCTCTTTTAACATCAATTTTAGAGGTCACATTAAATTCTGCTTTTCAGCTTCAGCTCACATACTCACTGATCCTGCAATAAGGGGATTGTGCTTCCCTTTTAGCCCCATCTACCATTTCCTTGACTTTCTATTCACAAGGGTAGAAAGACAGTCCAACTTTAGACAAGAGGTCTTATAAGTGTAGGGTAAACATTATTACCAGAAACTCGTATTAGGCATCTGTGATGTGCAAAGATGCATTCTGCCAAAATATTTTGTTAAAACTTTCTTTTATGCATCATGTGAGACACACACACCTTTAAAAATAACTATTAGTGTTCAAAAACATAAGATCACAAAGAAAAGTATTTTTCTTGCTAGGCTTATCAAAAGAAGACATTCTTAATACACTGCAGATGTAACATTAAGGAGTAATTTAAAAACTAGCATAAATGTCTATGATTTGCAGATTTTCTAAGCTTGCAGACCCACAGGTTAAAAATCCCTAATACTGGGGAAAGTAGATATCCATATACAAAAGAATGAAGTTGGATACAATCAACTCCACATGGATTAAAGATCTTAACAATAAGACTCCTAGAAAAAATGTAGTGGAAGAGCTTCATGATATTGGGTTGGGCAGTGACTTCTTGGATGTAAAACCAAAGACACAGGTAACAAAAGCAAATAATGAATACACAGGCCTACATCAAGCTTTAAAACTTATGCTTAGCAATGAAAACAATCAACAAAATGAAGTCAGTCTATAGAATGAGAACAGAATGAAAGAAAATATTGGTAAAACTAAGGGTTTTATTCTAGAATAGATTAAAAAGTAGATGACTAATTTTTGGAACATATAAGGAACTCATACAACTCAACAACAAAAATAACCCAATTGAAAAATCAGTAAAAGACTAGATGTTTTTCCAAAAACAAAATATATAAATGGTCAGTAAAAACATGATAATATGCTCAGTACCACCAATTATCAGGAAAATCCAAATCAAAACCACAATAAGATATTCCTTCACATTCATTAGGATAGCCACTATTCAAAAGGAAAAATAAAATTAAGGGTTGGGGATGTAGCTCAGAGCACCTGCCTAGCATTTACAGGCTCTTGGGTTTGATCCCCTAGTGCCACCAACCAAACCAAAACACTGGAAAGAATGAGGAAAAACTAAAACCTTTGCATATTATTAGTGAAAATGTAAAACAGTACAGTCACCATGGAAAACAGTACAAAAGTTTCTCAAAACATTAAAAATACAATTACTGCTGAGTCTGGTAGTGCATGTCAGTAATTCTAGCACTCAGGAGGCTGAGGTGGGATGACCTGGTACAAGTTCTGTACCAGCTTAGACTACATAGTGAAATCAAGGCCAGCCTGAACTCACTGTGAGGTCCTATACCAAGAAGTAAAAGAAATAATAAAAATACAGTTACTATATTATTTACTAGTCCACTTTGTAGCACATTATCCAAAATAACTGAAAAAAAGTTTTCCAAAAGGTATGTGCATGCTCATGTTCACTACCGCGTTATTTATAATAACCATGAGGTGGAAGAATCTATCTGTCCGTCAATTGACAAATGGATAAAGAAAATGCAGTGTATACATGCAATGGAATAGTATCTAGTCTTAAGTAAAAAGGTAATGCTGCCATGTGTTACAATATGGATGAACCTTCAGTAAAATATTCCTGTCAAAAAAGGTAAGGACTGCAAGATTTCAGTTAAGAGGCGTGCTAAAGTGGTCAAGCTGACAGAAACAGGAGAATGTGGTTACTTGGAGCTGAGGGCAGAGGGAAAATGTGCAGCAGTTGAGCAGAGTTTGCTCTGCAAGTAAAAAAGTTCTGGAGAACCATTATGCACATACAATAGTTGACAATACTGTACTGCACTTCAGTTAGGGTAGTAGGCTTGGGTAGTTACATGGTAGTTTCATAGTTAGGGTAGTAAACCTTTTAATCATAGCTTTTATTTATGTGGTTTTTTTTTTTTTTTTTTTTTTTTTTGGATAGTAAGTATTATCCAAAATGCTTAGGACCAGAAGTATTTACTATTTTGGAGTTTTCAGATTTTGAAAGATTTGCATAGACTTTACTGGTTGAGCATCTCTAATCCAAACATCTGAAACTTTTGGCCATCAGTTCAATCAGTAAGTTTTAGATTTCAGGGCATTTTGGATTTCAATGCCCTGATTAAGAATGCTCAGTTTGTACATGGAATCCACAACAGTCCAATAAATCTGGAAAGGGAGACTGAGGTCCTTTTCCAGACCCTTTGATTCTTTCCCAGGGCTATAGATAAACCTTATTAACAATTCAGGGAATAGCCCATTCTTCAGGCTGGCACAGCATAAGGCACGTTACATGCATAACCTCAGTCTTCCAATAGGCCATACATAAATGCAAAAATAAATGAAAAGTGAGCAAACTCGTAAGAACAGGTAGGAAGATGCTGAAGGAATTCTGGCATAAAATTACAACAGTGATAAAAATTACTGGCACCATGCCATGACTGGAATGATCTCTCAAGGTCTTCAACAATTTCTTGGGGCAGGCATGGTGGCGCACTTCTGTAACCCCAAGTTGGTGGGGTAAGGCAGGAGGATTGCTGTGAGTTCAGTGCCAGCTGGGCAACATACTGAGTTCAAGGCCAGCCTGAACTACACAGTGAGACCTGACTCAAACCAAACCAAACCAAACCAAACCAAACCAAACCAAACCACACCAAACCAAACCAATTTCTTGACCATGTTCAATTCTGCTACCAAGAGGAAAATTATGTATGTTTTGATTCTATTCGATTTCTTCTTTTCATAAAATAACAGTATCCCTGGTGGTCTAGTGGTTAGGATTTGGCGCTCTCTCATAACAGTGTGATCATATAATCCAGCAATTTGTGCTCCTTGGCATTTATCAAAAGGAACTGAAACTTAAATGTCCAACACAAAAATCTGCACAAGAAAGTTTACAATGGATTCATTACTAATTACTAAAACTTAGAAGCAACTGATACTTTTTTTTTTTTTTTTGGTACCAGGGATCAAACTCATGATTTCACACTTGCCAGGGAGGCGCTTATGCTGCTGAGCTAAATCCCTAGCCCCAATATGTCTTTTAGTAGGGGAGCTGTTAAGGTGTGTTACATCCACATAATTGAACACTGTTCAGAGTTAAAACAAGATGAACTATGAAGTCACTAAGAGATATGCAAAAAGCTTAAGTATGTATTAACTAAGTGAAAAACAAAATAATCTGAAAAGGCTACATACTATGTAATTTAAACTATGACATTCTGTAAAAAACAAAAAATATCAGTGGTTTCCAGCAGTTTAAGGGGGAAAGAGAGAAAGATGCATGAGGCAAAGAGTATTTTTAGGCCAGTAAAACTAATTTTTTTTTTTTTTTAAAGGCAAAGAGTTTCACTATGCAATTCAAGCTAGCCTTGAACTCACTTTGTAGCCAAGTTGGCCTCAAAATCACAACGATCCTCCTGCCTCCTGTGGCAGGATTACAAGCATGTGCCAACACACCGGGCTCAACTGTTTGACATTTTAAAGATGGATGTATATCATTATGTGTGTCAACCCTACAGAATGCATAATACAGAATAAAGCATAATGTGAACTATGGTCTATGGGTGACAGTGATGTCACTATTGGTTCAACAAATCTAAAACAATGTACCACACTGGTACACAATGATATTGATCGTGAAGGTTGCATGTATGTAGCAGGGAACAGTAACTGTACTTTCAGATCAGTGTTGTGAATCTAGTCTTTAAAAAAAGCCTATCCTTTTAAAAATGATAACAGTATCTATTTATAATAAAACCAGAGGAAGTTTTATGGTCATTTTTTATTTCAACACTTGAAAAAAATGCACATTACTTCAGGCAAACTTCTAGTGATTAAATTTTAATTCCCTTCCACTGGACATGGAAGGACCTAAATCCAACTCACCTGCCTACACACACATACACACACACACACACACAATCATATATGCTTTGGAAGTAAAAGAAAAGTGTAGAGATACACAGTAATTTCTGCGCTGAAGTAGTACACCACTTTGTAATTTTAATTGAATAATGCAGGTATTAATAAGCTTCACCGAATAAGCCTTTTTTTTTTTTTTTTTCCATTTGTCTCCTATTCCTGAAACTGAAAGACACTGGTGTCAGCCAGTCATGTGTCATAGGAATTGCTGTGGCACTAGAATGGAACCCATTAGCTACGACCAAGTTAAAAGGTTACGAATAGTGCCCGGCATGGTAGTACAGGCTTGTGACCCTAGAATCTAGTGGGCTGAGGCAAGAAGACAGCCCCATATTCAAGGCCAGCCTGACTAAACAGTGAGACCCTGTCTCAAAAAACCAAAAAGGTTACAAAGAGTAGCCTCAATGCCACTTTTCTTACTTACTCTTTTCAATGTGGAAACAACCAAGTATACTTTCAGATGAAATATTTTTGCAAGAACTGTTTCATAAATTTCACCTACAATATGCTTGAAAAGAAATGGAACCATCTGTGAGTCTTCATAAGAGTCTTCTTAGCCGCATGACTTCTTAGTGGCGCATGACTGCAATCCCAACACTCAGAAGGCTGAGGCAAGAGGATCATTGCAAGTTTTGATCAGCCTGGGCTACAAAGTGAGCTCAAGACCAGCCTAAACTGCACAGGAAGACTCTGTCTCAAAAACACAATTAAAAAAAAAAAAAAGTCTTCTTTCAAAGCTCATGAGGCAGATGCATGATGTCAATGTAATTTAATATGTGAATACCATAAAAACATGAAAAGCAGGAGTTAGTGTATCATCTCTTGTATGAATGAACTGAAACATCACTGGCAAGATGAAATTGAAGTTCCCATTTTCTTATTCATTCTCTCTCCATTAATGCAAGATTTAAATGTCCACTGTATCAAATTGATCAAGATTTTTAATCTTTATATTAATGCTTTAAATTTCTATAAATGGTATTACCAGATGCTTAAAGACTTAAGTATTCCAAGACAATGAATTCTTAGGAATGACTTTTCCTAAACAGCTAGCAAACAAGAAAAGGGAAGAGGCAGGAAAAGGAGTACTTACTGTAAGAACAAGAAGTGCAAAGGAAAGAGTAAAGAAAAAAGGAGTATGAATAAAAGTGCCAAGAAAAGGAAGCCACAGAAAAAAAGGCCTGATAAGACACACGGCATTAAACTAGCATAATTCTCCATTGTTCAATATAGCGTTAAAAGGCAAAAGAGAGAGAGAGAACAAACTATAGTGAGATGAGTCTAATTACTACTTTGGACAATGTGGTTAGGAGACAGTGTTTGAACAAAGTGCATGTACTAACGAATGATAGCTAACTCCCGACTATTTCTTTTCTTCCATTTATAACCATCGGTTCTGTCTTTTATTATAATAAACTTTCAATTTAAAACAAACATACACAGATACACCATAATGAGGGGAATACTTCTCCCTTTTCCATTCTTAGACAAACACATTAGGAGAAAAGCACCTTTTCTGTTAGAAAAGAATGTAGCTCTCCTGTACTATTTGAGGTTACCAGCAATAACTGCTATGGACTGACTCTCTCTGTAAGCCCAAAGTTTCTATTTTGAAACCCTTAACACCAGTATGATGATAGTAGGAGAAGCAGCCTTGGGGAGGTGATTAGATCATGAGAACGATTGTAACTGGCATTTACTGGTCCTACAAAGAGGCCCCAGAGGTTGCTTTGCCCCTGATACCACATGTGGATAAAGAAAGCATACCGTTTACAAGGGGTTATCAAAAAATACAGTGAGTGTTACAAAACTTTTAACAAGTTATTACAGGAAGACGCATTGCTGTTACTATTCCCTCAAAACAGTACACCTACTTGGCTTCAAACATACATCATTTTTGCCACTTTCTGAAGCAGTTCTTGGGAGTACTCTTTCGTATTTTTAAAAGATGGCATCAAAATACTGGGGGTGCTGCTGCACAGAGTGCCACCCAGTGGAAGCCTAGGCTTGTCAAAACATCACTGCCAGACATGGTGGCATGTACCTGCAATCTCAGTGTGCTGAGGACAGCCTGGGCTGTGTAAGCAAGTTCCAGGCCAGCTCACACTATATAGTGAGAACCTGTCTCAAAATAACAAAAACCAAAATCAGAAACCAAAAACCAAAACCCCCCAAAATTACTGTGTATCTTCATTCACCTTATTCACTGGACCTGGTACCATGCAAATTCTAGTTCTTCCCCAAAATCAAAATGACAATAAAAGGTGGACATTTTAAATGGACAGGACACCAAGAGAACTGCAGCGCAATTAAAGACTTCATGTAGTCTCCGGAACTCTAAGAAATTTCTGTTGTTTACAAGTTACCCAATATAGCACATATATTGTTACAGCAGCCCAAGTGGTCTAAAATGGCAACTAATTTTATAACCACCTAAATGTTTGAGTTTCTTAAAAATCCAGTGTTTATAAATAAACTTGAAAGAGCTCACAGTTCTTTTTAGCCCCCAACACTAGAACCATCACAAATGTCAGCAAAACAAAACATCTTAATTCATTAAAAAAGAAAGAAGAGCTGGACTTTCCACTTTACTAGTTTTAATTCGCTGTTTTCACTGGAAAAACACAAAACATAAGATTTTGTCTGTTAATGTTTTTAGCTTTTATTTATATCCCACCCCATTCCCAAACAGATGGAAGGCAGCTAAGATGAAAGCATACAGTGTAAGACTTAGAGAAAAGATGAAGAGGGAAGAAGAGAGGAAATAAGGGTCTGAGTGAGGGGAAAAGGTGAGCTGGAAAGTGGGGAAATGAGGGTTAAAAGGGCTGGGCATGGTTGGTGCATATCTGTAATGCCAGCACTCAGGAGGCCGAGGCATGAGGATTTGCAAACTCAAGCCCAGCCTAGGTAACAAACTGGGTTCAAGCTAGCCTGAACTGCATAGAAAGAAAAAAAGAGGATGAAGGGACCTAAAAGGTGTTCTGTACCCAAAACATAAACTGAAGTAGTCCTTTACTAAGAAGGTTGTACCTTAGACTCTGGATTTTACAGAAGCCAAAAAAAAGAAAAAAACAGGGAGGAGGAGAAAGGGGAGAGGAGGGGAGGACGAGCAAGAGGGGGAAAAGACAGCCTAACAACAGCTGTTAAATTGAGACTTTTTTGTTTGTTTAAATGCCCAATTTTGTGAAACCAGATAAACAACTCCATGGCTCAACAGTTGGGTCAAAATTCCAAAGAGATTCAAGAATTGAAAACAGATGAATCCGAGGCACAAACTAGACAGAGATGTTGTCTATGCAAGGCTAAGAAGTTGCTATGCAAGTTGTTCTTACCTAATAAATAATTTGTGCATGCTTCCAGGAATAGCCCCTCAAATAACAGGGTTGGGGAAAGCTTACTTTCATTTCTTTTTAATGATTACTTGTATCTGATTCAGAATTTGTGTCAACTACAACCACATCTGTTCAGCAATGGATCTTAAAAAAGTAGTTGTTAGTTTTACACAAATCAGCTTACAGAGATGTTTCTATTGGACTAACTTCAGAGTCTGAGGTTTGCATCAGTTTAATGCTTAACAATCTTATTAAATGTTTAAAAAAACCAAATTGTCTGTCAGATCACCAAGTGTAAACCAAGACTAACACCTAACACCACCAAAATTCCTTACGAGCAATATAGAAATATATCATACTTCGTTCACTAAAAGATGTCATCAATGTTAAATAGGCATTATTTTATATACCACTGAAATGGAAAGTTTATTAAGCTATGGAGTATGAATGATTTTAGGGAACCTCCTGGTTCTGGAGATGAATTGAAAAAAGGGTGTAGTTACTAGGGTGCACACCTGTAATCAATCCCAGTACTTGGGAGGAAGATCGTGAATCTAAGACCAGCCTGGGCTACACAGTGAGATCCAGTCTCAATAAACCAAAACCAAACAATAACAGCAGCAGCAGCAACAATAAAAGTAACCCAAAGGGCAAAAATTCCTCTTGAAGTTCCAGATACAAAATGCCTAATTTTCAAGTGAGTTAAGATTTTGGAATTGGGATATAAATCTCCACTGGTTCCCAACTCGCCCCCTCCCCGGTTCTCTGGCGATTGCACAACAGGTAACACTTTAACCACACAGTAGGGTTTCCATAAAGGTGATGGGCCCAAGCAATTTACCTAACACCAAATAAAATTATCTTCAACATGCTAAGCTTTCATTGCTTTAAAAGTTACTTTCCGAAAACTAACAACAAACAATGTTACAACAGTCCTAGCTAGAAGTTTAAAATGGCAAAGGCAGATTATAAAGCTTTTTGAGGACTCAGTCTGATGGGATGGTGATGCGTGTAACTCCAGCATTCAGGAGCTTGAGGCAGGGGATCCTGAATTTGAGGTCAATTTGAGCCACGATTTTTTTCCTTTTGAGAACTCAACAACAAACTTTAGAGAATGACTATCACATGCTAGGCACACAGAACAAAATAAAATTTCTGTCTCTATCTTTGTGTGCATAGGATAACTCCCCTTTTAAGAAAAAGCTAGGAAAGAATTGTAAGACAGTAATTCATGCCATTTGAAGGTATAGACAGGAATAAGAATAGAATAGAGAAGAATAACCAAAAGAGAGAATAACCAAAAGAAGCCAAATATGAAAAGTAAAACAAGAGGAAGCTGCGTTTAACAACTGAAATCCAGGAAAGCACATTCTAAATTTGGAGATAGCAGGGTGTGGTGGTCTATGCCTGTAATTCCAGCACTCAGGAGGCTGAGGCAGGATGATCACTGTGAGTCTTGAGGCCAGTCTGGGCTACAAAGTGAGTTTAAGGCCAGCCTGAACTGCACAATGAAACCCAGTCTCAAAAAGACAGACAGATGGAAAGAAAAGGCAGAGTTCTATAGATTTAGATAAACTTGGAGACAGGCCTAAATATGGACTTAACTTTTCTCCTAATAATATATTGTGTCACATTTCAAAAGTAGCATAGAGAACTCCACCAAAATGCAATGCATATAAAATATAAGTAAGTTGGGTTGAAAAATACACAAGAAAGATACTGGGTATTTTCATATATATGACCAGTATTGGGGAAAGCAAAAGAATTCCTGAGGACAGAAGCAACAAGAAAATATAAATTCACAAGCATAGTTAACACTATATGTAGTTTTCCCTGAAATTACAGAACAGACAAAAGTCGAGGTTTTGGGTTGGGGATTTAGCTCAGCAGCATAAGCGCCTGCTTGGCAAGTGTGAGGTCGTGAGTTCGATCCCCGG